GTCACTCTGAGATGTGGAGACGAAGGAGACACTGAAGGACAAGAAGTACTTCTACTCGAATAAATGTACTCAGTTACTTTCTGTGACTAACATTTGTGTGAACTCTCAAGTTTAATTAACAGACATACACACAGACGATCTGCTGCCTTTTCAAATGTTGGTGTCAAAACATTTATTTCGTGTTCACAGTGTCAGAAAGTGTTGATCACAAAGTCACGTCCAACATTAAAACACAGACCGAAGTGCAGCTCCGTTAGTTCTTCACGGTTGGAAGCTTCGTCTGAAGGATTTTATTCTAAAGCTGATGGTTCGTCTCCAGCAGCGGCTCAGATAGAAATGTGAAGAAAACAGCGAGCAAACGTGAGCCGCTGATAAAGATCACGTCATAGAAACGACGACGTCCTCGATGGAAAGTCGCAAGAACCTTGAAACGGACAAAAAGTACCGACAACAGGACATTTGAACATTAAGAGTCTTTCATTATGTGGCTGTCGTGCAAATTAAACAACAGTAAAATCTGGGCTGGAAACAGTTCAAGGAGGCAAACAGAAACAAAAACATGTTGTGCATTTACAGGAAAACTCCTCAGTGCTTCTCAGAGATATAAACGATGGTGTTCTGTTCTGTTAGCTGCTTATTATGATCATCTTCTGATCAGAAAATGGTGAAAAAAGTCCAAAAAATTGTCTGACAAATGTCTGTCCAAAGATAGAAAGACACCAGAAAATATTCACATGAAAGCAGCTGGAAATACAGGATTTACAGGTTTTGATATAAAAAAATAAAATAAAACGTTTAATTCATTAACGGATCATCAAATATCAATACAGTTTGCTCGTCATCTTTGAGTGAATCAATCAGCAGCGTCTCGGATCAGAACAACAGTGAGGTTTACACGTCATCGATCGTTTACTCATTGATCACCACAGCTACAGATCGATATGAACGCCATCAGACGTCATCAACTTTAAATAAACTATTATTTCTTTTTTTACACTTTCCATGAACAGAACTCGTCAGTATTTGACTATCTTACAGGATGAAGTGTGCAGTGTTGTCAGCTGGGTCGTTGGAATCATAAAGCTCCTCTATAAACATCTGGAAACATCTGTTAGACCACATCAGAAGAAGAGACGCTGCAGGTGAACATTAATCAACAGATATCAGTGTGAAGCTGCTCCAGGTTATTATTTACATCAAGAAAACGATCTCTGGTTTTACAAGTTGTCAGAAAATGTGTGTTTAAATATGCAAATGAGGACGAATACGTCTACAAACGCACTGATCGAGTTTAATTTCCAGAACAGAAAAGTGAACCGTTTCTACAGAAGGAATTTCTTTAAAATCCATTTCCTAAATGTTTTTAAGAATAAAACGTCGCATGAATCTCACTGAATGACGTATAAACAGCCCCTCAGTAAAAACCTGAAGACGGAAATAAAACCAGAAGGTTTGCTAAGAAGTTAAACATGTTAAGAAAAAAAAAAAGTCAAAAAATAATATAAAAAAATCCCCAAAATACAAGACAGTTTAAAAAATATTCAAAAAAAATGTCCAAAAAACAGGAACATATTAGCACAATAAAGTATCTCACAATTGTCTAAAAATTATTAATAAAATTTCAAAATAAAAAACTAACAAAATGTTTAAAAAAGTAATAAAAATCCCAGAATAGAAGAAAAAAGTGTTTTCTAAAATTTTCACCCCGTTTTATTAGTAAAAAAAAGTTCAACTTGAAACCTCAGCAGCTGATTACTGACATCTTATTTTATTAAATATGTATGCTTTAAATGTGCCCGTAAGACGTTATCTTGTTGAATTTTCACATATTTTCATAAATAAGACACCAAAAAAAGTAATAAAATAAACTCCAAGCTGTGTGTTTTGAATGTTTCCTTCAGTCTAAATGAAATAAGTGAACATGAACCAGCGTCTGTCTGTCTCACCTCAAACCTGAACCACACAGGTTTAGAAAATACGTTTTATTCGACAGCAGCACTTGTTGGACTTGGACCAACCAGAACTTTCTAAATACTGTGAGCTCAGTTTTGGGACGATCAGTGGTGAGGTTTATATAAATGTCCCTTTAGACGACACAGGTTTATAGATATTCTTAATTATGAATGACGCAAGAAAAAGCTGAAATGTTTTGGATATTTGCTGCAGGATGTAGTGAACTCATTTGTGGAACCGGTTTGGCTCAGTCATGGCTGTTTTCACTGTCAGTGATTTTCTAGACGAGCTGATCAGCGGTGAAGCACGGTGGCGGCAGCATCACGGGCCCTAAAATGTCAGAAAAGTGTGGATCAGTGCTTTCTCAAATGTCCAAAGATCTTCAGTTTACTGTCACAGAAGGAAATAAAGCAGGAAGTATTCACATTTAAGAAGCTGCAATCAGAGAAATTATTTATTTTAAAACTGATCAGTGGCAGAAATTCATCCTGGTTCTAAAATCTGCTGGAGGCATAAATGTTCTATGTCTGGCTTAAATTTAAACTTTTATGAATGGAGTCTGGTTTGGAAAAGGTTCGTGTATAAAATGTTTAAAAATGTGGATCAGTGCTTTCTCGAATGTCTTAATTAGTCCAAAGATGTTCAGTTCACGGTCACAGAGGAAAGAAACTGAAAATATTCACATTGAATTAGCTGCAATCAGAGAAATTAGACTGTTTAATAAAACCAATTAATCAATTATCAGAGTTATTGGCAGTAATTTAATAGCTGACAACTAATTAATTAATTGTTGCCGTTCTAATATTCATAAGTTAAAAATGGTTTTGGTGAGGTTTTACATACGCATCCCTTTTTTAATTTAAATTTTTTAAATTGTAAAAAAATGCAAGAAACACCTTAAATAGTCTGGAATAATTAGAAAATTAGAATAAATTAGAATGTGTAGCTACTAATTGGCCCAAGTCTGTTTGTGGATTAAAAACAACATAAAGTCATGTTGAGGTAACGTTTAGGCAACGTTTCTGAACTGGCTGCAAGAAAACAGGAAACTGTACGAAAGTTTGTCCAGAAAACAGTAAAAACACAGACCGAGTAGCTGTTAAGGCGTGTTGTTGAACATGAGCTTTTAGTAAAGAGAGATTAGAAACACCCGGAGGAACCCCGGAGAGTTAAAACGACCAACACGCTGCTGAGGTTCAGAAGTGTCGAGGTGTCGGTATGTACAGATTATAGATCCACCTGAACAAATGCTTTCGTTTGTGCCTGGTTTCAGTGCTGCAGCAGCTGAAGCTACGTCCGTGTGAATCAGTCTCGTGGTTAAAACGTGACAGAACCTCGACAAGTTTCAGTTAAAAACACACATCAGTGCAAAAGCATCCAGAAAAAAGTGAAAAGAGTTTAACACGAACCGTGTAAACTTTAAAAAGCATAGTATAGTTGATATATTTCTCTGACTCTTTCATATATTTTATCATCTTTCCAGCTGAGTCTTTCAAAGTTTTGGCTTTTTTCGTTCTTCTAGCAGCAAACAGAATCCCTCCTCTGCCGTGACCTCTCTGCTCCGTTGATGTGAAGCAGATGTCACGGGCCAAAGAAGAAGGCGTGACCTTCGTCAGTATTTACTAAGATAATTCTTCCATCCGCTCTGCTGAGAATCCCGTGTTGTTGCTGCAGTCCTCCGCTCCAGCAGGGGGAGCTGTTCCTCATGTTTCCCACCCAGAGCTCAGCTGCCGCCAGCAACCAGCCGCGGGACGCTGGAGGACAGAGGAGGACGAACCCTCGTCTCCTCCGCTGACAAAAGATCCAACACCAGAAGAACTGGAGGAACGTTATGGGATGTCCTCTTCTTCTCCTTCTCCTTCGTTCTCCTCGGAGTCGGAGTCCGAGTCGGAGTCCGAGTTCTGACATCTGAGGCGGCTCCAGCCGGCCTTGTTCTGGTGCAGGTGACCCATCATGGTGGTGCTGAGCGGACTGGGCTCCGTGAAGCGCTGCCACTCCTCAAACAGAGGCTCCACGATGTACGAGATGAAACCTGAAACACAGCAGCATCGTCTCTTAGACA